TCTCAAAATACATGTGATGTGCTCAATTAGATAAAGTTTAAATGACAATTTACTTTCTATTTTCTGATATTTTTCATTTACATTGTAATCTAACAAGTTATGCATCACAGTTCGGTTCTAATGACTTTATTTACAGCCAATAAAAGCATGTCATGTTAGACCTGTTATAATATGACAATGTGGGATTGTGAATCTCAAACTTTGGATTTCGCAATTCCTCAATTTGTCAGGTTATCAAGGAACAGGTTCTAATGATTTGATTGGTTAAGATAACCTCGTTAGAAAACTTGTTAGATTATACACGACAAAGAACGGCGGACACAAAAACGTGAAAAAAAAAATTTTCTGTCATCTAAAAAAGAAAGCTTCAATATCAAGCTTTAATGTGTCTTTTCTCCCTTTTTTGTCATTTTTTCAAGAAAAATATGGACAATAATACTAAAAATATACATTTAGTTTTAGAGTAAAAGTATCCCTTTTGGGTTTTGATTTGTAAATATGTATCACTTTAAGGTCCTAATATAACTGTTCCAATTTTGACCCTTTCTAAAACCTTTCTTTGGGATACAGAAGACAATCTGAAATGTTGTTTGTATATCAAAAGGTTAGAAAGTAATATTTACTATAGAATATTCAGACATCTTTCATCTTTTCTATATATTTATTATATCAATCTGGTGGATAATATAAGAGGTTATATCAATATTATGAAATAGGAGGGGGGTCTCTATCTGTTTCTAATATCACATCTTTTACTTATTATAAACCATCAACTCTAGCTTGATTGAAAATTCTCTTTTAAGTATTCCAACACATTTTCAGAATAGTTTATATGGCCTTCAATGTTAAATATAATTTAGTTTTTGAACACATTTTGGAAATATTTTTCTTTAAAGTGGACAAAATTGGTAATATGGTTCCTCAAAAGTATCTTTAAAGGGACAGGTAGGCCATTTTTTTCACCAATCATACTTTAGTCTCAGCAACAGGAATATTTTAGCTAAGAAAATCAGTTATAGTGTTCAAAGCTCACCATCGAAATTTGAGCCTTTAAATCCATGTGTCCAGAATTATCCATGATTGAATGTTAAAAGGACCACTGGTCAATTTAAGATACTCTGTGGCACGATATATTGGTGAATCAATGTATCGTGATACAACATGCCACAATGCGTGTATCGTATGGCAACTTCGTGTATCAATACTTGTCAATACCTTTCATTCCAGAAAAATGTGAAGATTTTTTAAAGTTGGTTTTTTTGCAGTGAAATTGTTAGAAACTTTTTATAAGACAAATATCACAGTTATATGAATTAATATATATAGAAACTTTGGAGATAAATATAACTTTTTATCCCATTACCCCATATCGCGATGATAATATCGTATCGTGAGCCTTCCATCGTGATACGTACGTATCATATTGTGACCATTGTATTTTTATATGTATCATATCGTGACCGTTGTATCGTGATATGTATCATATCGTGACCGTTGTATCGTGATATGTATCATATCGTAACATGATTGACGATATCCAGCACTATATCTTGTCATAGTGAAATTAATCAGGGTTCAGCTTAATGTCCCATCATCCTGCATCTTTGACAGTGTAAGTGTATCATTGTGACCTACACTAGAATCCCAGTCTGCCAGATTAATAAACACTTGTTTAACTCACTGAGCCACTTTTGCCTTCAAAATGTAATTGTCTATTGTGGTTTTGAAATATAGTTTTGAAATGACCATATTAATCATGTAATAACCATATTAAAATAACCTTCCAGCCATGTTATTGTGAAGTTGATCACATTTTAATGTCACGTTATGGGATGACTTGAGGCAAAAATCCTTTTCAAAATATCTCATCTGTTTTGGACCTGAAGGGCTAGATATTTAAGGAAATGCCAAATCTAATTTAATCTTGTGTTTTCTGTTCAGGCTTGTTTCATGCTGTCCTAAAGAAAAAACTAAATGTTGTGAAGGGTTTGAAAAGGGACATATGGGCTGCAAGCTCAGACATATATACCTAAACAGTCATTCAACGTGAATTCAGGACATTTGGGCTGCAAGTTCCTCAAAGCATTAAACAGGAATTCAAATTTACTACATCATTTTCAAATTAGTAGCTTTTAGCTCCATACCTGTACCTTGGCACTGAAATTCAAATATATTGCATCATTTTCAACACAGTAGCTTTAAGCTTTTGAATGCCAGTCCAAAAAATTTTTTGCTCCAGAACGACTAGCGAGGCAATGTATGCTCAATTTTCTGGAACACCTGATGCAACCATGCAACTGGGTTTCTCAACTCAACAACCCCATATAATCATGAATTGCTATTATATACTATGTAAGCTAGGAATATTAAAAGAGAATTTGAATCAAGTTGTTACTCAGAGTTCAGACCTATTTTCAACTTGCAAGCCTTACTGAAGTTGAACAAGTAGAACTTATTCTCTTGTGTACATTTCCAAACAAGTTGAACCTGTGTTTAAAGACGTGTGCTTAAGGGCACTAATGATGGAAAGCTTTTCAGTTAAACACATGTTTTATCGTTAAGGTATATTTCTGTAGGCTTTAGCTCTTGGATTAGGCCCTGTATTTTTGAAATGATCTAAGCGCTAGGATGTCCTAGATTCTTAACTTCTAACACTGTTTCTAGGATATCCTTGCGCTAAGATCATTTCGAGAATACGTGCCTAGGCTATTATGTAATTATTTTTTTTGAGTTTAAGTTTGCTTTAAGATTTCAGTGCTATTTACTATGTAAGCTATATAATGATATATTATAATGTACTAATGATTACTAATAATATAGTATATAGTTATATTCTAATTAACAATATAATAATAATGGGCATTATGACCTTGATCTTTGATATGATATAATGATATTTAGTAGATCCTGTTAGCCTATTGATAATAACAAAAACTATTATCACCTTATTATATAGACTGTATAGCTTAATTATCAAGCTGATCCCTGAAATTTGTCTTGTAATGATTGAATCTTTAAGGGAATGGACACATTTTTTTGTTAACATAGTTGAAAGCTTTAAAAGGAATTCTTATTTTACCAAAACATTTGAAAATATTTAATATAACATGCAAAAAAAGGGAACTATATAAGCTTTTTAGGCGTAAAATAAATCTTCTAGTTGTCGCACAAAACATACTGTTATGACTAAGGCTAACATTCCATATACGCGTCATGAGGATGCGTCATGCGGACATAAATGGCCCTTGCGGATCTGTCATGCGTCAAATATGATTCCATATGTGCGTTAAACGTAAGCGTTATCTTTCTTTTGACGCACAAACTTCTAGACAGATGGATGCTTTGGTGCATAAAAAAGGCATGGAATCACCACAAAATACATCACAGTTGGGAGATCTCAGCGTGGAAAGGCGTCCGGATGCGTCAAAAATCACTACACCTGGCGATTTTTTTTTTACGCATGACGGAGACCATTTGACAGATACCGCTTTCGCATTTATGGAATCATACCCTCTTAAACCAACCATTTCGATTTTTAACGCATGACGGATCTGCATGACGCATATATGGAATCTTAGCTTTACAATGTCATCAATGATATCTGAATTAAAAGGTACCTTCATCAGATTAGACTTTTGAAATGAATATATAGCTGGAATAGCTTGTTGTAATGTTATGCAACTGCATGTCTGATTTTAATTATGAAAATGCAACAAATAGCTAAAAATTTAACTTTATCAGCTGTAAGGTTATACATTTAGACAGTCATACCCAATATGTCCGAAACCCACTGTAAGTTTCTGAGTTTTGCTCTATAGATGTTAGTTTTAACTTTAACTGTACTATAGCTACCAAGGATGTGATGAAACTATAACTTGTGATATTCCATTATGTCAACATCTACCTATCAATGATGACTGTTCTATACAACAATATAAACTGCGAATATGTCTTGCAGTTCGGTAAGTACATTGTATTTCTACTCTTGATTACAATTGAAAAAGAGTAGGCTAATGCTGCTGTCCTAGCAGAATTTTCCTCATTGCATGATGCTGCTTGTCTTCATTAGCCCATTAGGTGCATGCTTTAAACATTGGAGTTGCTTCTCTGTAAGTATGATATGTGTTGACCTACTTGATACTTTAAACATGGAAGATTCTTCTCTGTAAGTATGATATGTGTTGTCATATTTGATGTTTTAAACATGGAAGATTCTTCTCTGTAAGTATGATGTGTGTTGACATACTTGATGTTTTAATCTTGAAAGATGCTAGTACTCTGCAAGAACATGATATTATGTTTCTCATACTTGATGCTTTAAACATGGAAGTTGCTTCTCTTTAAGAACATTGATGTTTTGTCCTACTTCATAAATGTAAAGGCTGGTTTTTACTCTGTAAGCGAAAGAGCGAAGTGAAGATAAAGAAGCTAAGCGAAGCGAAGATAAAGAAGCTAAGCGAAGCTTTGATTTCCTACGCGGCACAAATCAATGCCAGTTTGTTTCATATGTCTCTGATTGATTGCAAAGACCAAAGAGAAACGAAGAAGTAGAATCACATCCTATTTCGCCTAGCTTGAAAATGAACTTGCAAAGGTACACAGGTGAAACTTCACTTCATAGCTCAGCTTTGAAGCTTGCTACCCTCGAGCAGAGAAAAAACCTGCTTTGCTTAGCAGAGTATAAACCAGTCTTAAGATCTCGTCTATGATATGTTTCAACATACATCATACTGAAGGCTCAAATATGCACTGTTTTGGATAAAATACATTACTTGTAGAAACCTATAGTTATTTGGTAAAAAGGAATGTAATGAGAAAACAATTTTATGAAAGGTTTTCCTCCAAGACTTTTTAAGTCTGGATAACAACAACATGTTTTGTTGTAATATTTCTATATCGGTCTACAATTGATGTATTGAACACTATTTTAACAGTGATAATTTTTTGTTAATGGTATTATCTTATATAAAGCCTGATAACTTTATGGAACTTTTTATATATTAAACAGGTATTGGATACAACACAATCCTGTTCACTTTGATATGGATTCCAGATTACGTTTGGCAACCAAACGTCTGGGCCAGCTATTACTAGCAGAAGGCAACACTAAATTAAAAGAACTTATTGATCTCTCTCAAGTGTGAGTGTACTAGAAACTATAGTCTGTTTCTCTTATATATTTGATTTATCTTTAAGAAATGTTTTGAAATGCTCAAATAGTTGCTGATTTTCCCGATTTGGATATGGATAGCCACTTTTTGCACTGCACACAATATCAGATAGATAATTGGGGTACTGTAGTGATTGATGGTTTTGTTATCAAATTTTACAATTGGCTCCTAATGGCCAACCTATAATTGATGTCTAACTGAGGATCTATTAAGGATATTGACCTTTGAATATTTGAGCTGCCCTCCTGGTCATGTCATTGAAAAAAAAGCAAAATAAACACCCCTGATTTGCAGATATCCTGTTTGCTGTATATGATGAATTTTATTTCTACACATTTTTGATGTTTCCATGTTTTCAATAGAACACCTCTAAAAACATGTACTTTGAAAAAAAGTCCATAGTAAATATTTCTTGTACTTTTCTTTTGAATACAGGTGTCCATTGGTACAAGATATCAGATAGAAATTTACTTGAAATGATGTTGAACAAAAAATTTTGTGTTGAAATAAGCCCTACACTGTAAAATTGCATTTTCTTGTGTTAATCATTTGAGCACAGTATATTGGCAATGTCTTGTTTTAATCAAGGAAATTATTGAAAACATGAGCCAACAATTACATGAAAAGTAAAAATAAAAAATAAAAAATTTTTCAGCAGATTTTATATTTGAAATTTCATTTTATTTCAGCCCTTCATATGATTGGATGAGAAATATGTCTGTACGAAATCCTTCTAGTCATAATAGAAAAGTTTCATTAGTCTTCAACCATTTAGAACCAGAGGAATTAGCTGAACAGTTAACATATTTAGAATATAAAGCCTTCCGTAGAATACATGTAAGTTTCATTATTAGGTTAGGGTAACGTTACGACAGGTTAGGGTAATGTCATTATGTACCGGTTAGAGTAATGTCATTATGTACCGGTTAGAGTAATGTCATTATGTACCGGTTAGAGTAATGTCACTATTTACAGGTTAAGGTAATGTCACTATTTACAGGTTAGAGTAACATCACTATTTACAGGTTAGCCAATGTCACTACAGGTTAGGGTAACGTCACTATTTGCAGGTTAGGGTAATGTCACTATTTATAGGTTAGGGTAATGTAACTATTTACAGGTTAGGGTAATGTCACTATGTGCAAGTTAGAGTAATGTCACTACAGGTTAGGGTAACGTCACTATTTGCAGGTTAGGGTAATGTCACTATTTATAGGTTAGGGTAATTTCACTATTTATAGGTTAGGGTAATGTCGCTATGTGCAGGTTAGGGTAATGTCACTATTTGCAGGTTTGGTAATCTGTTGTCATATATGTGTGTGATCTCAACAGTCTTTTTCAAGCCTTTTTTTCTTATCATTAAAATGACCCCTCAAATCTTCTTGATCAAACCTTCTTAAGCTCTCTTGAAAAAGAATCAAAAGCATCTGATTTTTTCCTATTTTTCAGTTTTCTGATTATAAAAACTATGCAGTGACAGCGTCATTAAAAGAAAATCCTAAATTAGAAAGATCTATAGCTTTATTTAATGGTTTATCACAGTGGGTACAATGTATGGTATTAAGTAAAACAACACCTCAACAACGGGCTGATGTCATCACCAAATTCTCTAATGTATCAAAGGTCAGTTTTTTTTTGTAATAATTTATTACAGAACATATAATACTTCGATTCTCATTTTTGTTTTTTGACGGGATTGTTGGTTCGGCTTTGAAGATGCTGATGTCGCCATATTAACCCCCAATTTTTCACTTGTCCTGATGAGTATTTTATATCTGAAACATGTGTCAGCAAACTTACGGTATATAAGATGAGCTGAGCTGTTGTCCATATTAAAAAAATAGGAAATGACGCTTTGTGTCCCAGTTCAGTTTAGCATAAGCATTGAATACACCAGGTATCCAAATTATATTGGTAGGCCTATATAGCCAAAAGCAGATGAGTAAACATAATCTACAATCTGCTGAACAAAGTTGACAATTACAATGGCAGAGTGGTATCAGATGTCCAGGACAGTATGCCCTTCATCTAGATCTAAGTTTGTCTGTATCCATATGAAACTTTTGAATTTTTCAGAGATTACGTTCATTACAAAACTTCAACACATTAATGGCAATAGTTGGTGGTTTAACACATAGTGCATTAGCTAGATTATCTAAAACTAATGCTTGTTTACCATCAGAAACACAAAAGGTAAGTCAACTGACATGTACTGCCTAAACAATTGACATTATTCTACAGCTTAATCTTAATCTAACAATATTCATAATAAAAATGTGTTCATCAATTCAACCAATTAAATGAGTTGATCAGTAAACTGTTATGAAATATTTATGAGAAATTCTTGGATTATTGAATTTTGACTGACACAACAAAGCTATTTTGGATTGTTGATTTCTTGCTTATTGTTTTTCTTTCTGTTACAGACTTTGATGGAGTTTACTGAGTTATTATCATCTAATAATAATTTTATTAATTACCGTAAAGTTTATCATCAATGTACAGGCTTTAAAATACCTATCTTGTAAGTTAGACTTCTATACTATTTATATATTACTTATACATGCATATTACTTATATATTACTTAATATTATATTATTTATATATTTCTTTTAATTTACTTATATATTACTTATATATTATATATATGTTTATAATGCCTGGAAGTGATGAACATTTAGACTGGCACAATATGTTGTGGAATTGTAGGAGAACCAAGCATCCAATTTTTATTTTGAAAAGTTACATGGAAGGCTGAAATTGAACATAATCAACTGATAGAGCAAATGATTTAGAAGAGGACTGATATCAAATCAATGACAATTGCAAAAATGAAATGAGTCTCAATGATAATATGAACTAAATATTGAAATTTGTCTATTTACAGAGGAGTTCATTTAAAAGACTTGATATCCCTACATACAGCTTTACCAGATAGAGTTGAAGGCAATTTAATTAATTTCCGTAAAATGGCCCAATTATCGTTAATGTTACAAGAATTAACAGGATTACAAAGAGTTGATAATATACCAGTAGATGCTAATATGGATCTAGTCAATACATTAAGGGTAGGTGTTCATTATTGAGAAATAACGTTGACAGATTTAAGGGATATTGTAATCAATGTTATATTTGAAGCTGGAAGATAGTAGGTATTCAATATTTCAATGTGAGATGTTAATGAGAACATGATCTCATAATTTATGAGTCATAAAAGCACTGGCCTAGGTCAAAGTGAAGAAGCATTCAGTCTAAAACTTGTAAATAAAGGTTTTGATGTCAATTAAACACAACCAAGTTCTAAAATATCCAAACTAAACGAAAGCTTAAATCCAAAATAGTATATTGGCAATACATTGCTAACAGCTTATGAATTTTTCATATGAGGAAGGATATGAATTTATATTCATTCAATAGAAGTAAAACGTTAAAGGGACAGGTGCACCATTTTTTTTACCCACCATACCTTAGTCTCAGAACCAGACATTTTTTTAGCTAAGTCAATGAGTAATGATAGTGTTCTCAGCTCACCGTCGAAATTTTGATCCTTCAATCCATGCGTGTCCAGAATTATCTGCCTTTGAATGTTAAAATGACAACTAGTCAATTTAAGATACTCTGTGATATATAAAAAAGATATATATAGAAAAAGTGAGTAAAACTCCCAGTTTGAGGTATTTTGGAAGGAATTATGCGATTTTGACTATTTACATATATTCAAGACTAAAATAAGTCCATCAAAATGGCACACCTGTCCCTTTAATTCAAACAGGCATCACAGACATTCAAGATACATTATTTGCTACAAATATGATATTTTCTTTAAAAAAATTGGATTGTTTGAAATTTGATGTGTCACTTTGCCATCATGTATTTTCTGATGATTTAAATGATAACATGTCTCAGAAAGTGTCTAGTTTTGATTGTAATACATGTATGTCTCAGTTAATTTACTAATTTGGATATGTGTCATTTGATATTTTTCAGTTATCATTAGATTTACATTATACTGAGGATGAAATATATGAGTTATCATTAGCTAGAGAACCAAGAGGTTCGGTCTCATCTGTAAGTTACTTATTTATTCAAATACTTTAGTGACCATTTCAAAATAGGTTCATTTCTGTTAGCTTTTCCACCATATGTCCAAATCTTCTTGATTAACCTGATGTTGGAGGAGCAAAAATGACAACTTTTGGGACCATTTATACATCACTTTTAAGTGGTACTTGATTATTTTTGTGTATTTGAGGATCAGTAATATTGTGTGCAGATATGGTAATATGAATACAATAGGCTAGGTCCAAAAATAAATAATCTGGAGAAGCCATTTTTGAAACAAATTGATTGCATGCATTCAAATGCACTGCAGTAAGTCCTTCCTTCAGTGCTTTATATTTGTATCCTGCTGCAGAGGAGCCTCTTTTTTTTCAATGGATCCAATTAGTTAAAGTGGATTTTATATAGAAATAATATATTTCAGCCCACTACGCCAACTAAACCAGTCATGTTTGCTGATTGGATATCTGGTGTTAGTCCACCTGATTCTAATACTATCAATAAACATGTACATGATATGGTAGAGGTAAGTTATAGTATATTTTTAGCTACGCCAATCAGTAATAGTGTTCACAGCTCACCGTCAAAACTTGAGCCTTCAAATCCATATCTGTCGAGAATTATACGCTTTTAATTTAAAATGACGACTGGTCAATTTAAGATACTCTGTGATAGAAATAATGAGTAAAGCTTCTAGATATTTCTGAAGAAATTATATAATTTTTATACATTTCTAGTACTTCTAATTACATATTTTCAAGATTCAAATCAACCCCCAAAATGGCGCACCTGTCCCTTTAAGAAGGTGTTATTGCTTGTGTTTTTCAGGCTGTATTTAAGAACTATGACCATGATAAAGATAGGTTTATATCTCATGCTGAATTTGATGCTATAGCTGGAAACTTTCCTTTTATTGATTCTTTCTATGTTTTGGATGCTGACAAGTAAGTATATACACCTTATTCCATTGTGGCTGTTTCATGGTATTCCTCTTCTTTTAAAATCTTTTATTTAGATCGATCTAAGAATGAATCCAGGAATAGCTTGATATTCTAGTTCAGTTTCTCTTTGTCACTGCATGTCAGCAATTTTGACCCAGAAAGTTGTGTGCGATCCTTGCAGCAATTACTCTTTGCTGTCAAAATTCTCTACATTGAGCAGTTAAGGAAACTCATACATTGATATAAAGGGGTTGCTGAATTTCTACCATATTGTTAGAAACTATCGTACAGTCAATAAATCATGAAATTATTCTAATTATAGAGATGGTATGATCAGTAAAGATGAAATGAAGACATATTTTATCCGAGCCAACTGTTATGCTTTACGCAATAGTTTTAAACATGATTTTCATGAAACCACATATTTTAAACCTACTTTCTGTATACACTGTACTGGCTTGGTAAGTTTACTAATAAAATAACCTCTGGTACTTTGTACTCATTTGGACTGATTGCATTTAGCTTAACAACGGAAGCAGAAAATTTTCGGATGGAGCATTTAATAGTCTCATTATTGCCTTTCTTGTTTCTAAAAACAGCCATGCTTGAATCCAAAAAATTTCAACTCCATAGATTATTGAAAAAGGAGAATGTACAAATTTGGTATATTTTAGAGTGCTTATATAATAGGTCTACTTTTGAAAAAGTTACAAGCAACATTTTTTTTCATAAATCAGAGATTTCTCCTATTAATGCTATTCTAAAACAAAAATGTTTCTGAAAAATATTAACAGAAGTCAATAAAATGACATGTTTTGAATAATTTTTCTTATTTTGAATATGTTGCATATTCCCAATTTAATCCCAAAATTTGAAACAAATTAGATATTGTATAATACTGGTTATAATACTTGTCTTAAGGTGTAATAAAAGTTATCAGATAGTAATCTATATTGTTATTCTATATCACTTGTTATATACCTGACTACACTGAAGTATATTATCTTATATTATTGTAGTTATGGGGAATTATTAAACAAGGATGGAAATGTAGAGGTAAGTAGTATTTTTATCTTTTTGTAGAATTTTGTGCATTGTGCGTAATATTTTTGGTAAAATTCAAAGATGGTCAAATTTCTAGATAATTTTTATTTTTAATAAGTACTTCTAAATATTCATCATCTTCATAATGTCAGCTAGTATTATGAGCTTCGTACTTATACCTTGACTGCAATAGCCACTATTCTTGTATCATAAAGTGCAAATTTAATTTGGAATTTCTAGAGCTATATAGCCCATTTCATTTGAATTTTTCAGAATGTAGTATAAATGCTCATAAACATTGTAAAGAATCAGTTGTAATGGAATGTCGGAAAGTTAGTGGTACTAAACGTGCAGATTCTATATCCAATGGTAAGGTTTCTTATAGGCTCCTTGTATCCAATCACAGCTGTTATATTATTTCTTGCTAAACTTTCTACTACTAAAAGCAGGCAGATAGGCCAAAACAAAAAACCATGAAACCCTTGAGTGTTCTTACCGCACAGTGGTTTAAAGGTTTGTAACATTCCCCTGATCATAACTGAATAAATGGCTAATTGTTTGATTTCTTGTAGGTTCTGTTTGTTCAAATGACCTAACATTATCAACCAAACGTAAGATATCTCAGAGACATAAACAAGCACAGCTATCAGCACAACAAAGAAGTGAACACAAGCATGACAGTCATACGCACTTACAAAACAACCAAAAAAATCATAAGGACCAAATATTTCATCGAGATGACAGCCAGAGAGAGGGAGAGTTTTATGAAGAACAACACCTGTTATATGATAGATTGTTAAAATCTGAAGAGGTAAATATAATACTCAAATTCTATTGGTCGCGTCTGCTCTCAAATGTGTTTTTTTAATTGTTAATTTTTATGTTGGTAAAAGGGTAATCCCCAATCTGGATTTGATATCAGAAAGATTTCAAATGAAAAGACAGGATTTAAGTGTTTATTTGACAAATTTATCATTAAAAATGTTTGCAAAGGCAAAATGACCAAGACGTTTTGGTCAAAGATGTCACAAGTTAGACCAGTGTTTGATCAATGAACAAATCGACAATCAATTTGACTAGTACAATATTATATGCAAATGCTCATTCAAAAATTGCTTTTTTCTTAAATTTGACTCCTTGACTATTTCCTTCTACCTGAATCTTACGATATCAAATCCAAATAGTAACAACATAAGGTAATGGAGATCCCCCAAAAAACCTCCATAGATTAACTTTCCTGTTTTGGTCATGGTTTATTTGCATGAATGTGTTACAAAATTTTATGTTTATATTGAAATTTGGCAGCCATTTGCAGCTAATCTTATATCAACTTGATTTGCCAACAATTTATTTTGCATCCACAAAGCTTTCTGCATTTCACAATCAGTTATGATACGCTGCTAAGAAATTCTAATAAGGTTGATCAAAGCTGGAAATACAAATTGAAATTAAAGGAAAAACACTTTAAAAGCATTGTCATCGAATTCATGAAATTCATCTTTCTTTCATTTGTTTATGCCAAGGTCACCTGTTCTTATTTCTTCATTTTTAAAAGTGGCTTCTCGATTTATTTACGGTTGATGGGTTACATACTGAAAAATATATTAAAGATTTTAGTAAAAATACACGTTTCAGGCATGGTTCTCAATGAAATATCGCACATGAAAAATGAAAAATCTGAACTTGGAAAGTGAAAGTCTCAATGTTTGGCAAATAGTAACCTGGAATTTTGGTCATTTTTTACAAAGCATATCAAGCTTTCTGACTAATTTAATTGCTTTGAGTCCCAGAGGATTCTAGAAAGACTAGTCTTTTAAATTGGATAACAAAATTACAATGTTGTATGATTAGTCTAAAATGCTAAAAAAAAAAGGTATTTTGACTGCACAATCCTTATCAGGACTTTTAGAAAATAGACATGTATAAATGAATCTCCTAGAAGAGGAGTGAGAACAGGTGACTGGTGGAAGTATTAAAGGGTTGTTGTATATTGTAATTATGTATCTTTGTTTTAGCCTTTATCTCAGGATAATCACCTACAGTAAGTTGGAGATTGTTCATATATTATTTATAGTTTTACTTTTGTTTTTAGTATTTTAGTTCCTACTTTTAGTTTAGTTTTTTTCTTTTGAATGCTTTGCTATATTCTTTAGTTAACAGCTACTCATCTCCATCTTTTTCTTTGCTTTTTTCTGTGCTTCTTTTTGGCTATTCACACAAATAAAGTTAGATTTAGAAAGCTTTTAATGCACAATTAGATTTCAGATTTAGAATATAGGTGAAAGTTTTATTCAGATAATCTCTTATGGACAATCTGATCAAAAGGCAAATCTGGATAATTTGTTTCGTAATTTTTCTGCAGGTGACTCCACATGTCATCTATGATCTGACGAGATTGTTAAGTGCATTTAAAATTGAACCTATCAAATGCTCTGTTATATGAAAGATTTCCATACTTTTTGCTAATTTAGTTTTCACCATTGCCTTGTATTATCTAACCCCATTTAACAGTGTTTTTGATTGGTTAGCAGAAATTATGATTTTGATAATAACTGGTCAAAATTCAAAAGTAATTTTTTGAAAAATCTTATCAGATCATGTGTGGCGAAAGTAGTAATCTGCAGGAAGCACACAAAACAAATAATCAAGATTTACATTGGAATAAGTAGCCTGTATGTAAATTTAGTATTTGCACAGTCATGTTATAGGTAGAAATACTATCATAATAAATGTTATAGTTAAACACTGTATTGGTAATAAATACATGTACTAATAGTAATATAACATTACATGTAGTAAGTACATATAATTTGTGCACATAATTTTAACACTTCACTGGGAATAAGAACATGAATTTCAAGCGGGAAATAAGTACATGAATTTTGAATGGGGAATAAGTATGTGAATTTAAAGTGTGGAAGAAGTAGGCCTACATGATTTTCATGTGTAAAATAAGTACATGAATTTCAAGTATGGAATAAGTACATGAATTTCAAGTGTGGAATAAGTACATGAATTTCAAGTGTGGATTAAGTACATGAATTTCAAGTGTCAAATAAGTACATGAATTTCAAGTGTAGAATAAGTACATGAATTCCTTTTTTGCTTTTTGGTATTATTATAATATTATGCTTTCATTCATACATAAACACCATTAAATTTGTAATAAATTATTTTTTTTTTGTAATACATCAAAACTCACAAAGTTATATTGAACATAGGAATACAGCTTTTATCAATTTTCAATCAAAACCAAATTAATAAGGTTTGTATTTGTGATATGTACGGTAGCTCCTGTCATGTTATATGTTGAACTGAAACACAGGTTGGGGTGTTAATAGTTTTGCTTTTGTAAATGTATGTTAGATAACATTAGTTCCTATATTATAATATGTATGTAGTTCTGTTGCATGTTTGATTTGTATTCTTTCTTGTCTATACTTAAAGCAAGATATGTTTGTCTAACTGTGAATATTATAATGGAGCGCATGATTTAAAAATTCAAATGATATATATGTCAAGTGATATGTCAAGTGATATGTCAAATGATATGTCAAGTAATATGTCAAGCATACTTTTGCATTTTTGCAACAAGACAGGTTAGTTTTCAGTAACCTCTTACCAGAAACATTCCCTGTCAGTGATGCAGGTAAGAGGGGCTGAAATAGAAAAAGCCTCTAGTTGTTCGTATGGGACAATAAACCGAGGCCCTGTGTGCTACAGGCTGTGTATTTCATTTCATTTACAAGAAACATTACAACACAAAATTCTTTCTACTAAAATATATTGACCGATAACTTCATGGTTAGAATTTTTTGACCACAAGCCAAATTTTCTTTTCACTAGAATTGTGTTTGTGAGACTCCATCAATGCTCCACATGCACCTAAATTTTCACTAATCCAGTGGGAGATTGCAATTATCTGCTTGGTATACTTTTTCATCATCAATATCAGGCATTGTGGATTCCAAAAATATTTTCTGTAATTAAGTTAGATTTTCTAGACACTTATCACTGAGCTTTGGTTTTTTAGCAACATAAGTCCATCATATGGTTTTTTTTTTTTGCTTTCACAAGGAAGATGGAGAAGATGGAGAAGCTCATATATCATTGCCTATACTACTATTAAATTGAATAATGTAAATTTGTATTTTTGCAGGCAAGAGAACAGTTGATGGAAGAAAACTCACAGCTACGAGCCAGATTAGAGGTTGCTAATGATCAAATTCTCGTGTTAAAAACTCATATTGGAGTGATACGTCAAAATACCATAGCTTTTATCTTAGAACAGATGGATGCTCTTCATATGCAGAGAGACACAGAAGTATGACTATAGACCATGACCTTATATGGACTTAAACAACACCAAAAGTGAAAACATCAAAATCAACAAAATTTTTACACCTTTGACACGATTTGATAGTGATTATAGTGTTAATGTGATTGATATCACAATTCTGATTGTGATGAATAGTTTGTGATATAATATCACAAATACACATTTCATTTACACATTCCTATGTGCTGCCCACATATGAGCAAATAATGTGAATCTTGTGTCCAGATAATGCCCATTTATGGTGTCCAATGTTTTTAAAAGACAAACAGATTATCATAATCAAATGATGCGGGTAAAATATTCTATTTTTAGTGATAATCCAAACAGATTAAACACTGCTAATCTTATAATCTCTTGTATTGATTTTGAGAATATTATAATATTTTTATAGATACATTATGACAGTACAGGCATGGAATGGATTGACCATTATCATTACTGCAATGTACATATAGGAACATCTCTTGGAAACAAAGAATCTGGAATCTCATCATGCATTGCCTGGAAGTCATGAAAGACTTGTTAGTTATCATCTGGTTTTAAGATATTGAAGAAGGAAACATCATCTGGAATTATTAGAATTTGGAGATTTCTGGGGAAAATGCTAGGCTATTTTTGCCTCACACTATGAAGAGTTTGGTTAGGAACCAGGAAATTCAAAAAACAAAATGATCAAGTACTGGTACAAGAAAACCATCTTCAAAGGCTTGTCTTTATCAGTTAATTGGTAATGGTGTGTACAAAATAATGGTCTCCAGAGGTTGGTTTTCTCAGACTTTGAGAGAAAGTTATGTTTTACATACAGTAAAATAAGGAAAAGGAAGGTATTTTATATATACATGTACTTATATATTATACTCTAAGAAGTCAGTGTTAGTAATAAGAAGTCAGTGATTGGTAAAAATCAGACTATAAGAAGCCAAGAGTTTACTATAAGAAGTACACTTTAAATAGTTGGTGTTAACTAAAAAGAAACCTCAGTGTTTACTATTTATTCAAGAGATAAACTATATAAGATTTAGCCAACATTCAACTTGAACTATATAACATATATAAAAAGAATTGTGAATATTATTTATATAAATGTGT